TTTGGCCATGATCCCCAGCACCGCTGGGTGCTCACGGTCACCTCTCTGCCATTCTCTTGCTTGACATCTCAGATATTGCTGTTGAAGTGTCACCTTTTAAAACTCTCCTCTTCAACCTGTCTTCTGCACAATCTTCCCTTCTGGAAGATTTTGACTCAGCTTTGTCAACACATGCGAGTAAGTCTGACTACACCAAGTTACAAGAAGCAGTTTCTGCTAGTTAAAATCAGAAAAACTTACAGGTACTACTTCAAGGTCATATGTGATTAAGGCACTGTGGCAGGTTTGCTGTTTACTAAAGCTTACTTCCTCTTCTTTCTGGAAGCAGCCAGTCTACATTTCCCAGCCTCCCCTGCAGTTAGGTGTAAAGTGATGGAAGTTCTAGCCAGCGCAGTAAGGAGTACCGAGTTCCACTTCTAGGCCAGGCCTGTAACTTCCAGGAGTACTCTTTCCCCGCCAGTGTACTGGAGCAGGGACACCTGGCACAACTAGGAAAAGGTGGCCACAGTGCCAACAGCCCAGGTCTGAATGAGTGTCCAGGGCAAAGGCTCCAGTTGGTAGGATCATCCCTTGTCCCCTGTCTCATAAGCAAGCAACAAACTTCTGTGCTTGAGTCATTATATTTTGGGGACACACATTTGGCAGGAGCTAGCATTACGCTAACATGGGCAGGCACTGACACCACCTACCTGAAGGACATATTGACACAGTCTAACAAAAGCTCCAGCTTAAGTTACTAGGTGGTGAACAGAACCCAATGTTAATGTTCATTCCTGAGTCACACTCCACCGGCAATCCTCACCTCTAGAGTGAGCACAGGAAGTGAGGCAGAAGTCAGGGTGTCATCCACCCACTCTAACACAAGCACCATGGATCAGTCCCAAGCTTGAGAACAACTGCAGGCAACGGCTCAGCTAGGCAATTCAACATCCTGCACGCACACGTGCAGGTGACTAAAGCTGTTAATTTACTGCATGTGAATTATTTCTTTGTATTCAGCAAAGAAAAACTCACTGATTTTCTTAATAACCCATCTAAAAATCCAGTTGTCCAAAACTTGGTTTATATATATTTTCCATTAGACTGTGCTTATTTATCTTTGGGTGTGCCAGAGTTAGCTCAGTAAATACCACATGGTTAAAGCTGTTCAGTAAACGCTCCTCAGATATCATGTGGGGAGGAATTCAAAGAAACTCAAAGCTTCATTGTTGTTTCATTATTTCTTGTGACATTCATAATTACTTCTCCTGGTATCACCCACTTTACAAATGAAAACACCTTTTTTCCTGGGCAGTCATAATTGTATGCTATCCATCAAACAATAAAATTTTGATAGCTGAGACACATTCAGCCTGAAGATGAAGTGATATATTAACTTCTTGACCAAATGCCAGAACTTACAGATGAATATGAAACAGACATCAATAATTACAGCTTGTACTGTAGCTGTTGGTTTCTAAAGCTCTCGGTTCAATGAACAAGTAATGACTGGATGGACACACCCTTCAGAAATGAGAGGTGGGAAAAGATTACCTCATTCCATACCTGTCACCAAGCAGGCCCCCTGCAGCAATTCAGCAAGAAGCAGCCCACGGGCCCATGAGGTGGCACTGGCTGCAGCTGCTAGGGTGGTGCTCAGGAATGGGCACAGAAGGCAAGCTGGCATAGGACCAATAGGAGCCAAGTTTCTCTCAGGCACTGCCCTCCCTCCTTTTTGTTCCTGGGCATTTGTTTCCTTAAAAAACAGTCCTGGGCATAAAACTAAAAATCGATTTCTTAAAAATGTCATCTCATTTGGGATATTTTTCATGTTTTTCTACTTGAATTTAGAAAAGGATTACTAATACCAATAAAAATATAATTATGCCTCAGATAATTCTTGATTTTACAAGCAGCTCTAGAAACACAGTATACTGCAATGGCATTTCATAAACTGTTCCACCAGAGCCTGTCGCTGTGTTCCAGGGATCAAAATCACCAGAGCCAGCGTAACAGGAAGCTTTCCAGAAGGCACCACTGTACTTGAAGACATCCTGGCAAAATGAACACCCACCAAAGAGCAGGAGGAAGTGCCACTAAGGAAACACTCCACTCCACTCCCACACCATGGCAAAACTGTGACTCCTTTCTAAGTTCCCTTACAGCCACCCTGAGCTGCCACACGCTGCTCTGTTCCTGACCAAAGAAGCCCTTCCCCTAAGTGGGTGCTGATGATTGCCACCATGCTAAAGTGTGTGTGTGGGGGTGGGTGGGGGGAGTAGTGTGGAGAGAAAAATAAAATAATAAAGTAAAAAAAACCGCAGTTCTGCTCACTTGATTAAAAATCTACAGAGAACCTCAACCTCAGAAATATAAAATGGGTCTCACTAAGTGTGCTACAACGGCCAAGAACCACATATCTTCATAAAATGTATCTTGACAGTTCACTGAAAATTATTCTATTGTATTCTGCTTTACAGCATAAGTCTCTCACTTAAGTTTGAAAACTTGGAAACACGTTCTGATTGTTTCACAATAAAACTACTTGAACTGTGTTGCTATGAGTTTTACCTTCAACCTTTAAAAGTACTTTCAAGATCTGTTACCAGGTTAGAAGGCACCGATGCCATAGATACCAACCTATGCTCGGTTTGAGAAAAAGATTTTCATATACACATTTTGTCCAAATATTACTATTTGTTTCATGAAAGTCAGAGCTAAGACTTTAGTAGAGTGTAAATTTTAAGCCAATGAATAAACAGTTGGCTTGACAAAATATTAAATTGACATGCAAAGCACTTGCAACCCTGCCAGATACTAAAAATAAAAGTGACTTCTGCCAACACTGAAAAACTTCAATCGTCCCAGTTGGTTCTGAGTTAGATGACTAGGTTTCACTGAGTTAATTTTCCAAAATGGTACTAAACAAAACATCGGCTTGTTTCCCCAAACTTTATTCTCTCTTAAAAAAAATGTTTAATGGGCATTTTATTGAAATATCAGATTCATACAATATTTTTTATAAAACTAAAAAAGTAATAATCTTTAACAAATGAGAATTTAGACATTCTGTAAATTACATCTTCATATTTTGAGTTAAATTCAAACTTCTCTAAGTTGTTAATAAGCTGAGTTATTAAAATATTTTAAAAAGAACACTTTAGACAAAAGGCATAAAGGAAATCAGTAGATTTCAACTGTGAGGTTCTAAGTTGTTAACTTGAGATAACATTTTATTCCTGTCCTTGGTCTGCCCCTCCTTAATCTGTCTGCCCCCAAAAATAAGTGTTTAAAATATGGAGTCTGAGATTTATGATCAGTTGCAGAAACCTGTTTAACTACTGATTTACAGTCTTGGCTGAGGTATTTAACTCTGTCATCAGAACTAATTATAGCAAGCCTGAGATTATATATTCAAACTCTCCTTTTGGTGAAGGAAGTAGAATGTTCTGCTGAAAATCAGAAACATCCTGAGGGCTCCTACACAAGAATGCACTACCAACTTTACTTCTCAAAACCAGGGCTGTAAAGCTCCAAATTACTGTTCTTTAGTAAGCTGTTTTAGCCTAAAGTACTTAAACAATAAATCATAGTTACATTAATGCCATACCAATGGCTTAAAACATATTAATCTCAGTTAACAATAACTGACATTTACATTACTAATCTAATTCAAGCATTCTGGTAGTAGTACATGCACATGTTGAAGCTTCAGGAACTGAAGTTATTACTGATCCATAAAGAATCCTTATTTTAATGTGATCGAAATGGAGAGCCCTTGGGCAAYGGGGGTACTCTAGGAATAATGCTCCCATTTCACTTTATAATGAGTAAAATGTCTAATTTGTATCAAGGCTGATCAAACAAAACTGGTCCCAAATAAGGTGCAGGCAGGGCCAACATAAGACACCAGTTCCTTCCTCTCTTGAAAATCCTTCCTTTCCACCCACTCTTTGGCTGAACCAGTGTTTTGAAGCTTTTCACAGCTCATACCCTTAAACGAGTAGGGACATCATAGGAGATAGGGTTCCCTTGTCAAGTGAGTCCCCTATTGCATCTGACCCCACCAACACTGTATTCCACTCAGTTAAAATGCTGCCACAGACATAACCATGAACTGGGGGGCACTGTAGGAGCAGTTGCTAGCACCAAACAGGGGTGAAGAAGGGCTTTTGGAGGCCAGCCTTCATTCAGAGACTCTCAGATCCAACCCTACAGGAAGCCATTCTGGTGAGGCCTCAGCAGGAGAAGCAAGGTGTGAAGCACCTGCAGGGGTCACTAAATGCCAAAGGAAGCACATATTGGGGTGGGGGAGGCAGGGACAAGGCAGAGGTCAAAGAGAAATCTTGTCCCTGGGACCTATGTATGAGAATACCTACACCACCCAGTGCTCAAAGACAGTATTTTTCATACTGCAGCAAAACCAGTGGATTATGTCATGGATACCTCTTCCACAATGGTTTTGTAGAAGAAAGGTTCCTGTGCTCTAAGTTTGTATTGTCTCTTTAGGAGTCTAAAATGAATGTTGTAGGTAACTAGTACTTGATAATATCTATAAAATGGAACAAGGAATATTATGTTATAAAATATACAGCTTCCCAATATCTGGTCTGAATACTTGTTCATGATAAATTACTAGATGCACAATCTCCTAAATCTTGCTTTCTCTACATCAGCTTTCCTCAACTATACAGAAGCAAGATATGACTTTTGGACTCTTTAATAACAAGTAATTATTCACTTATTCTAGAACATAAAAAAGTTAAATGCAACACCATAAATGAATAAAGTTTTATTATTATTTATAACCTAGGTTCAACTGTGGACTTCCTTACCAGCTTATTGTATGATTTCTCAAAGCCCCTTCCCATTAGGACTATGAAACACACATCTAATGAAAACTACTTCCTGTGGGACCATTCCTCTTCTCAGCCTTATTCATTCATTCATTCATTCATTCATTCTGTTAAGGAGAAATGGGGAAGAGAATAAAAACAAACCAGTTCTTAGACAATTCAAAGTTATGTTATCTTGGAGTTATAATTGTCTGCTTAATGTAATTTTACCACTTTCTATACCAAGAATCATCTCACAATTTAAAGAATGACAAGGTCACGAGATATTTAGGAAAACATTTCTAGGCCATGCTGAATTTAAACCATCCTCCAAACACTACATTCTATAGTATTTGCATACCTTCTGATTGAAGGTATGCAAAAATAATCAGAAGGTATGCAAAATATATCAATTGCTTTTAATATGTGACTTTGAAATATCAACTCTAGTGCCTCCAATAAAGAATAAAAAAGTTGTTTTGATGACATCAGGGTAATTAAAGTCATTTGTAAAGACAGCATCAATTGAGACTTACTTGCACTTATAACTAATCCATTATAAACAAAAGCCAATCTTAAAAACACAATTCTAGAAAAAGTGTAGTTATGCCAAGAACAGATAAGCAAGTACAAGGACCTCACAAGCTATGCTATAACAAACATATGAAAAGCAAAATTGATTTTATACTGTAGGTCTATACAAATAAATAAATAAAATCCCATTTCTTTTCTCGTATGTATGCTTAGATTCCTTACATAAATAATAAAATGCTTCATTTCATCCACTTCAATAGAAAGAACTCCTTATGAAAAGGCTGAAAAGAGTTGATAATCAACTCCATAGTTTTATGCTTATTTTTTCTACTTCTAACAATTTCCTGATATATTTAACCTAAGTAGGAAAATCTTTTCAGTAAATTCTGCAAGTGTCTTGAAGAACTCTGACAAATTACATATATCCCATGTTGCTTTTGGTTTCCCATCTCTTCTTTGCTTCAAATCTAAAATGAAGAACATAAAAATTTCAATTTATTTCTAAAATAGAATAATTTGTTAAAGTAACATGTTTATTAAGTGATCAAAGTCAAAACAAATGTAAAAACGACACATACTCCACTGCTTACAAAACAAACATCAAACAGGGTAAAAAAAAAATGCCTCCATATTTATAATCTGATAAACATTCAGCAAAGATACAAACAATAAAGTAAGGAACAGTTCTGTACAAATTGGATTCACAAAATGTATTAGCAGGCTTTCTACAATTCCTATGAGATCAGTAGAATAACTACTAAAAATCTGAAGTGAACTCACCCCCATGCAAGTTTCTTCTTTTTTCGAGCAGCCTGAGAGTTTTCAGCCTCCTTTTTGGCTTTTACAAACTTGTGACAGGCAATTGCTTTGGCAATTTTTACACCAAGCTAAGAATCACAAAGAAGGAAAAAAATGTGAAAATAAATATTCTAGCTAATACAAGAATTATAATACCAATAACTGAAAATGTGTGGGTAAGAAAGCTACATTTTAGAACTGAGAAATCCTATGCTCAGGCCCCTTGAATACAGAAGAATGAATACATAGATATGGCCCATATCTCCCTTCCCTCCCAACATTCAACCCTAGCTGCGCCGTCTCCTGGATGGAAATCCTTCCCAAACAGAGGCCCCTTGAGGGTCCACAAAGGTAGTAATGAGGCTCTTCAAGCTACCCTAGCATTTTAGTCAGCTGAACAGGAATTTGTCCTGATAAGGCTGCACAGACTGACAGAGACATCAACTTTCTTTGCTCTGGGCTAGAATTACAGCAACTCAGTACGGTCACACCAGTTATCTCATGCTGATCAGAAGCGCTGATTGGCAGTCACAGATGGGATTAATAAAACATGGGAAAGCTAATTACTACTTCATAAATGCACTCTGCATGATGGGCAACAGCTTTTAAGTATCTGAGAGAGAAAAGAATATAAGGGGTACTAGGAAGTGAAAAGGCTGGACCCCAGGACCCAGGTATTCCCTGGGCAGGGCCCTCTGCGTACCTCCCTAATGTCCAACTGCCAGTCCCACAAGAGTTATTCAAAATTAACCTCCCACCCCCCAAAGTCTTCTCTAATTCATTCTATCACCGTTCTTGCTTCTGCATTTCTCCAGCCCTTTTCTGGTTTCAGAGCTTTTCCCCACAAAGTATCTCCAGGTCAGGGATGCTGATTTTAAAATGCCCAGCATACACGGAGGGCTCAATCAGATCTGTTGAGAGCCCAGATTAACAATGAAGGTTAAACCTTTCCAGTGTTTGTTTTTTTGTATTCCTTCACTCAACCTAATGCTTATTGGTAGACATGCAGACTAGTGGATGAGAAGAAAGGACCCGGAAGCCACCCTAAAGACAACACATCAAAGCCTAAAACTTTAGGGATCTTCTTGCCAACAGGAAGGCATTGTAAGAGGTTAAGAGCACATGTGTAAGGAAAGAAGCCAAGTTAGGAAAGCAAGGTCTGGCATGCTTGACATGTCTTTCAGCTTATCTTGGAGAACAGTTTCCTTTAGGGCAAAACAGACAAGTGGTAATCAAGCACTGGCTGGCGCTTATAAATGGGAGAAAAAGAGTTTCAGTTAAGAATATGTATATAAAACATACGCAAATGGAAGGAAGCTAACAATCAAGCCAAGGTGCTGAACCGGTCAACACCAATAGAACAGCCACTGAAGAAGGAATGACTAATCATGACTTGAGAGCTCACTTGAGAAAGCAGACCAAACTTAGTATACACTCAGAACTCAAACCAATGTTAACACTGCYGTTGTCATCTTTTCTACAAGAACACACTTTATGACAGCACAAATGCACAATTTTGCCAGGCATGTTCTAGGTGCTGGAGACACAGCACTGAACCAACAAGGCTTGCTTTCAAGTTGCGGGCGAGGAGAGCAAGCGGCCTCAATGAAGACTTTGTTCAGCTGGTTCTTTTACTCCCAGCTCTTTATTATAGAAAAATTCACCTAAGTCAACCAAAAGAAGGCTAAGAATCAAAGGGTTGTAGCATCATTGTTGAAACTTTGGAAGGATGCTGTGTGACATTTTTCATTAAGATGGAATTCCTACCCACTGAAAAACCTTCTACTTGTGACACCAGTAAAACCTCAAGTTAGCACCCACTGGGTTAGGCTGGTCACCACTGCAGTACCAAACAAATTCTCAATCTCACTGGCCAAGCTTTTATTGTTTTGCTTGAAGTCCTTGTGGACCGGCAGGCCTTTCCATCTTGTGCTGCCAGCCCCTCCACACCTGGCCTTCACAGTCAACATGGCACAAGAAGAGGTAGAGGGTCTCATACCGGCTCTTAAATACTTTCATCCCAAAGTGACACACATCATTTCTGCTCACACAGAAATATAAAAGCACAATAGGACACTAGGGGAGCAGTCTGCACACCTAAAAAGCCATCTTCTGCCAGAAAATACAGCTTTCAGCTTGAGTTTATGATGCACAAGAGGCTACCCACATTCACACAGAACCTACAAAGGTAAAACATAAAAATCTATACTTTGGGGGCTGGAGTGTGGTTCAGTAGTAGAGCATGGGCCTACCATGTGAAAGCCCTGAGCTCTATTCCCAGCATGGAGGGGGAAAATAATCTGTATTTTTCCATTAACTCCATTCGTATGTATTTATATACCAAATGCAAATGTGATATATATAATACAGTTTTTCCATCCGCTCAAAGGGACTCAGCTAATTTATCTTATATTTAAATTAAGCCTAGACTTTGGGTAAGAAATAAAAACAATACAAACCATCTCTGCTATACGCCACTAGCCATTTAAGAAAATCATTTTCTAAAACTGTTTTAAATTAAACTTTATATTTTAAACTTATTGCAATTTCCCAGTATGGGTTTTCTGGATTCAAAAAGACGAACCAAGGTGGATCTCAGTGTGTGGACAGCAGCCACTTGACTCCTGTGGGCTCTCCACCTTAACACACTCACCCACTCTGAGAATGGAAACCCCTCATGTCCCAGCAAGGCCATAGCTAAACCCAACACAGTACAGGCTCAGTGCATACAATCTTAACACATAGTATAAACTTGTTTAAAATGACTCATTAGAATGCATTAGAAAGCGTTCACACGAGATGGGTCCATCATTTTGTGAACTAAATAAATACAAGCAGTTATCAGGTGCATAGAAACACTTTCAGACAAACCGACTTGTTCCTGTAAAAAGTATACTCTCTAACTGTACCTTATTACCATGGGTTACGTTAAATGGAATGTTCTTCAACTGATAAACATTAAATAGAAAACTGTTTCAGCTTGTAATGATGGTGAAAAGTCATAGTCCCTCATGTGCTTAAAAATTAGTGTTTCACTTATTTCTGTGAGGAAAGAAAAAAGAACAAGAACTATCTGGAAACGTAAAAGGATAATAAGGCCTTCAATGGAAAAGACGGTTGAGGGAAAAATGTAGTTTTCCCAGCAAGATGACTACCTCGAGTTCCAGAATTATAAAAGAATACTGCGCTATTTCAGTATTACAAACAAATAAAACAGGCCGACAAGAAGCCCCCTTTTGCTTCCATAAAAAGAAAAATGCATCTTCCTGCCTAATGTAAACATCACAAAAGCTTGGTCAATGGTTTTTATATTAAAAAACTGTTTTAGGTCATCAGATAACTACAGCAACACAATGTGGAAAGACATTTTTTTAAATGAATAAAAAAATATACAGAGTTTCTTGTATGTGTAGCCAAAGTATCAGCATTTTCCATATAGAACATCCAATATTTTGCTGCATTTTAATTAAGGTGTCTAAACATTATCACAAAGAACTGCAAATTGGTCAGAGCATGCGGTAAGGAAAATTAAGCTCTAAAGGCTTTTTATCACCATATTTCAGGAACCAAGGGTGTAAAATGTTCTAATTTGGGATATATTAAAAGCCATAAAAGGTCTTTCAAAAAGATTAATGGTACTTTGCTTGGATTTAAGATAAGGGCTTTAGCTGGTTGGAAAAGCAGGGCCCTGGCTGGACCCTTGAGGCATTCATCTTTACAGCCACTTGGAAGATTTGTAAAAGCGTCTGCATAACCTCAAGCAAATGCACGGCGACATTTTTTTAATTCCTTTCAATTTTACAGGTTTAGCATGTGTAAATCATATTGAGTTGTAAAATAGATATAATGGCACATCCTTATAGCACAGTACAGATATTTTAAAGACAAACTTCAAAATAAAGTTAGTTTTGTTCAGAAAATATTATCATTATAAAGTTTGCTGATAATCATTTGAAGCATCTGATTCAAACAGCTTAATCTAGCACAACTATAAACTTCTTATCCATTTCATAAAATATTTTACTCATCTCAAAATTACTAGCTTGTAACAGATTTATGAAGTTTTCCTCCCTTTTGAACACTTTCAAGGCACTTATTTAAAAATACCAATTATCATACTTTAACTTTTTATGGAATAATAGGTCTCTATGAAAAATATTTATGCCATTCTCTTTTGTTCTTTAATTAAATGAAAACAGATGTTTTCTGAAGTAAAGCGGAACCATTACTGGAGTACTTAAAGTGTTAAGGTCTTTAATTTTTATATCAGTTTGGTCGACAATTCCTGATTGTCTTTACTCAAGCTCAACATTAATGTCAAGCAAGTTACCTAGGAGACGAAAGAGATCAAAGAGACAAAAAACCCTCCAATGTCTGATTAATCAAGCCTGCAAACAGCTTATTTCTTTTAGCCTGCATGCAAGTATGAAAATGAGATTCTGGGAGCCGAACATTGTGCAGATTTGTTCATTCTTATCAGAACAAAGCCAGCAGCAGCTTATTTCATGGATCATTGGCACTGTCATCAGTGCTACACAGAACGGGTGACAGCTCCTCATTTTGAGGCTTGAACAAAATTAGCAAAAAGTCGGCACAAATTAGCCTCTCATCTTTTTAGTAATATGACATTATTCATTTACTTTTTATCCAATTTTTAATTTTTTCCTTGTCAGCTATCCCTTTCTAGTGTCTCTCGCATGGCATCGTGAAATGCCTTCTAAAAAATAAGCAAACAGTCAAMGTTGAAATCACATGCAAAGTTCATGAAGCAAATAAGAACAAGCACTTCGAATAACTGGGAATGCTATGTTTTTAAAAACTTAAAAAAAAAACTTTGCAGTAATAATTGATTTTTGGAATGCCAAGCAGTTAAGGAGTTTTATAAAATTGGTAGTATACTTCAAGAATACAACGTTGACTAATGGGTTTCACTCATTCCACAACTGAACATGGGATGTGCTCCAGTAAACTCAGATGTCCACATCTGGATCGGGACCTTTCTTCCCAGGATCATACCTGAGATGCCAAACCTCTGATGACAGCAAATAAGCTATAGCACACCTAGTCATTTAACGCTGATTCTAAATCA